ATAAATTTTTTGGTTAATTGGGCAAATCTTTACGAATGCCCTAGATGCAAAAAGTCATTTGCTAATTGAGCGGTTGAACGTCTAAACAAGATTTTGACTCAACCTATATAAGGTCGTAAAAATGAGCTGGATTAGCCATTTTTGGTCGATCTATTAGAGTTTAATCATACTTTAAATTGTAATGGCAAAATAACCACTAGTTCGGTTAAATTAACATTTTTGCCTCTAATTAAAACACAAAACACAAATCCAGTAATTCGTACTGGAGTTCGAAACTTTGGCGAGTAGAACTCTAATAAACTATGCGGAATTCAAAGATTTGCTGCATTTCAAACCCAGGAACGATTCCTGATTGATAGGTTACAAGTAACTTGTTTTATGTTTTGATGATCTAACAAACTTACTATCAAGAACCAGATAAGGAACATGTTACACACTCTCAAGACCTTAAGATCAAAAGGTTCCAGCTTGGGATATGGTTCAATTCTTCAGAGTCAGAGGAACAACAGAGAGAGAAGATAGCTACCGTTTCTAGAGGAAACTGCACAAGTCAACTGCCCCAACTGTAAAGTTGCTGCCTGCACACGCTACTATGCAGAAACAATGCAACAATCAACTTTATGGGAAGTGTCTTTTACCTACCTTGCTTACACCATCCCAAGTGATGTCACAAATGTATTATTAACATCAAGGAAGGAAAACAAATGACTTGAACACTTAGAGAATTTACTCAAGCACTCTGTGTCATTGATCATCAAGAAAATAATTCTCAAGTGCATTAAGAACAAAGAACAACACTGCTACGCACCAGTTCTTCATATCAAGTTATTGTATGAACTTAGTTGAGTTGTAACTTCATAATAGTTCTTCAATTATAATTCCTACTTAGCTTGTTTGGAAGCATTGCATAGAAAACCCTTTATAAATTATAAACCCTTGTGTTTGTGTCTTGGCTAGAGTTAGTCGAGTTGTAAAGTCTTTGTAAAAAAGTTATTACAAAGTGGTTGTAATAGATTGTTACAAGTTAGTGAGGGATTAAGAGGTTAATTCCTAGGTTGCATAGGTTGTAATATGAAAGTTGTTCAGTAGTGAAGTTGAAATCCTACAAGGGTAGGTCGTGGTTTTTAATCCCGTTGAGCTGAGAATTTTCCACGTAAAATTCCTCTTGTCATTTATTATTGCAGTGTGCATGTGTTTTGCTGAAACTGATAGAGAACCTAGTTCTCTATAGAGTTTGGTGGACCCTTATATTCTATCACTGATTTTCAAACCTTTACTAGTGCAAAATCTATGAACGACTCATGATTTTTGAATTCTCATTGTACTTCAGCAATTTTAAACCTTTACTAGATCAAAATCTCAAATGCATGAACAATTCCTGATTTTTGAACCTTTACTAGTGTAGAATCCATGAATGATTCTTGATTTTTTAATTCACATTATACTTCTGCAATTTTGAATTTTTACTGGTGCAAAATTCAAAATTCAAGATAAATTATTGATTTTTGAACCTTTACTAATGCAAAATTCAAAAAAAATTCATGGAGGATTCATGATTTTTATATTCACATTACACATCAACATTTTTTTAACCTTTAACTACAAAATTCATGATAGATTATTGACTTTTGAACTTTTACTAGTGCAAAATCTAGAAAAATCCAGGAAAGATTCATGATTTTTTGAATTCATATTTTAGTTTAACAATTGAGAACAACTGCTTCAGGTGATAAAATTCCAGTATTTTTGGATTATGCACTTATAAATATTTAAAGTCCAGTAATCGTTCCTAGAGTTCTTTCGTATTTTAAATATGGATGCATTGCCACACCATATTCAAGGGGAAGTGTCATGGTGTATATTATTCGCTGATGACATAGTCCTGATTGATGAGACGCGGGACGGTGTTAACGAGAGGTTGGTGGTTTAGAGACAGGCTCTCAAGTCTAAGAGTTTCAAATTGAGCAAGACTAAGACAGGGTACCTGGAGTGCAAGTTCAGCGCCGAGTCGAGAGAAGTAGGCATGGACGTGAGGCTTGGATCATAGGTCATCCTCAAGAGAGGTAGTTTCAAGTACCTTGGGTCGGTTATACAAGGGGATGGAGAGATCGACGAGGACGTCACTCACCGTAAAGGGGTGGGTGGATGAAATGGAGGCTAGCATCTGGAGCATATGTGACAAGAAAGTGCCACTAATACTCAAACATAAGTTTTATAAAGCGATTGTTAGACCGACCATGTTGTATGGGACAGAGTGTTGGCCGGCTAAGAACTCTCATATCCAGAAGATGAAGGTAGCTAAGATGAGGATGTTGAGGTGGATGTGCGGACACACTAGGATGAATAACATTAGGAATGAAGATATTCGGGAGAAGGTGGGCGTGGCCCATGTAGATGACAAGATGTGGGAAGCGAGGCTCAGATGGTTCGGGAACGTGCGGAGAGAAGCCTGGATGCTCCGGTGAGGAGGTGTGAGCGGTTGGCTTTGGTGGGTACGAGAAGAGGTAGAGGATGGCCTAAGAAGTATTGGGGAGAGGTGATCAGGCAGGACATGACACGATTGCAGATTTCCGAGAACATCGCCCTTGATAGGAAAGTCTGGAGGTCGAGCATTAGGGTAGTAGGCTAGGGGGTAGTCGAGCTTCTCCTTCTTCATACCGGGGGTGAAGCGAGTTTGATAAGGTTGATCTTAGACGTCTTGTGGTTAAAGTAGAGTCCACACTCCGGACTTTATTTGCTGGTTATTATTATTGCATGTCATCTTTTATGGATTTTAGGATGCTGTCACTATTTCTATGTTTATGTTGACTGTACTAATGAATTGTCTCTTATTGTTTTATTTCCATCTTCTTGAGCAGAGGGTCTATCGGAAACAGTCTCTCTGAGCTATCAGGGTAGGGGTAAGGTCTGCGTACACACTACTCTCCCCAGACCTCACTTTGTGGGATTTTATTGGGTCGTCGTTGTTGTTGTTGTATTCCACTCAACGAATTCTATTAATTTCGAACAGCCATGTTCGGCCTAACTTCTTAGTTGACCCAAGTGTTTTTACTATGCAGTTTTAGATCGCGGGAGACAATTTCATCTGTTCAAATTGTAAAAAAAAATTGTTTACCACCTTTTCCATTGTTTTTAATGAACTCTATGCATGTTACTTTCAATATCTTATGAATTTGAAGTATGTTATTACCAATATATTAGCTTGAAAGAGAAGGCTTCAAAAATGATACCAAATGATTTCAAAAGTCATTGCATTCTAAATCTTGGTTGGAACCTAAGAAAGTTTTGCGTTTTAAGAAGCAGAGGAAACAAAAAGGAAGTTCAGAGAAAGAAGGACGACTGCTTCGTGACATAACAAGAAACTTGGAAGAAAAAACAAAAATAATATTCCGTTGCCGGGACTTGAACCCGGGTCTCTCGGGTGAGAGCCGAGTATCCTAACCAACTAGACTACAACGGATTGTTGTAGACTTTGTGGATTAGCTATTATTGACTGCAAAGATAAGAGAATTATGAGCAAAAACTTAACTGAACCCGACACGCCCATCAAAATAATAACTGCGTGCTAAACTAAATGAAAGTGTGTAAAACTACTTATCTGGACTAGGCAGATTCAAGATTTGAATTTTAAAGGGTTTTGTATGCGACCGATATCACTGAGACATTTGAATTGTTGGGTTTAAATTTTAATATTTGTCACTAATATATAGTTAGACTTCTTAATATATATACACGGTATAAACCGAAACTATTGAGTTTGGCTGAAACCTAATATAATACATCCGCCCCTGCATACATGGTTAACAATAATGCAAGCTCAATACAATTAGCGGTAGATCCAACAACAATAAAAACAAGAAGAAAAGAAAGACGACAGCACTTTCTGTGCAATTTTACGAAAGAAAGGTAAAACAATTGTGGGGAAATTACGAAAATAAAGGCAAGAAGTAGGGGTATTTATGGTTCGGTTTGGATTGGTTTTCCCCTAAAAAGAAACCAAACCAAATAAGTCGGTTTTTCAAATATTAGAACTAAACCAAACCAATTAAGTCGGTTTTTCTCGATTCGGTTTATATCGGTTTTTCGGTTTTTTTGGTTATTTGTCGGTTTTTTCTTAAATATAAGACATACACTACCAAACACATATTCCGGCGACCACATTTTCAATGTAACACTATCAAATCAATTGCCCTTTGAGAAATCTATTATTTACCAAAATATATTGATGATAATTGAATCAAATAGTGATGAATAATTTAAGGACTCAATTAAAAATATGTTATTTTTAACACGGAATGAATTCTTACACTAAACAAAAGAAAACTACCAATCAAACTAGAATGTAAAGGTAAAGAACTATATTAAAAGTGCAAACTATTAACATTTACCATAAATTTTTTGAAACTTTGTATAACAATATACATATGTATAGGTGTAATAATAAATTAGAAATAGTTATTCCTATAGTCGGCTTGGTTCGGTTTTTTTCTGATTAAAACCAAAACCAAACCAAATTTGATCGGTTTTTAAAATTCAAAACCAAAATCAAACCAAATAAAAAAGTATCGACTTTTTTGGTCGGTTTGGTTTGGTTTTCGGTTTGGTTCGATTTTTCAGGTTTTTATGAACACCCCTGACAAGAAGCCTAGCTAGCGATATGATGCCTAAGAAGTAAGAATATATATGATGTTATTAGAATTAGTCCTTTTCCCTTAGATTATTGCAAAGAAAAATTAGCTACGATTCTGAATTGGAAATATCTAACAATACTAGTTGAAATGTGTTCAAGTGGAAGAATCCACTGTAACACGTAAAGTGCTCCATCAAGTCCAAATAAAATAGCTCTCTCATTTCGTTTAATCCAAAGCCATATACCGGCATGTATTTACTAAGTTGTCCTATTGGGCTTGTCCAATTCTCAATTAAACTTTTAGGATGTTAGGCAACATGTCCCCTCTTTTATGTATTTATTTTTTTGGAAATTAATATACAAAAATATATTTACATGAAAAGGTTTACTTACGCACAGTGCTGCTTCGTGTTCAAGTAGCTTGATGCCATATAACGTGCCGTACAAAATTTGTAAGAGTTACATACAACCACTCTGTTTCAAGAAACTTCTTATTGAAAATACTACAAATTTAGTTATACATTAATTGTTCTAAAACTCATTCATGAGCCTGAGATTTGAAAGGCTTGTATGTCTTGAGATCTTGAGAAAGACCCTGTATGGATCCAGCTGCTGCAACAAGTGACACAATTAAGCAACCCCAGCTTAATATTTGCAGCCATATCCAAGTGAATGAATACTTTGGAATTTTCCTCTGAGCAATGTGCATTTCTATTGGCAAGTAGACAGTTAATGGATAAAAAGAAGCTGCCCCAATTAAACCCAAAAAGTGATTGAAGAATGGAAATATCATGGCAATTACTGCTGTTACTATAACATATGCTGTCCTCCACAGCAACCTGAAAAAATTTACATAGTAAACATGACCAGAACATGGAATGTTTATCGCATGTTGGGAAGTGATGAATTTGTTGTCTGGCCATCGTTCACTACAACGACCCTCCACAAAGCCATATATTGGTTGGCAGAAAACCTGAGACAAGGACAATATATATTTGAGCGATGAGTTTATCTTTTATATACAATAACAACAACAACAACCCAGTAAAATCCCACAAGTGAGGTTTGAGGAGGATAGTGTGTACGCAGACCTTACCCCTATCCCGAAGGGATAGAGAGGCTGTTTCCGAAGTCTTTGAAATTGTCTTATAGATGACATATTATATATGTCGCAATCGACAAATTATATAATCTATAAATCAGTATGGGAATGAAATGAGTTTTAATAGAATGGAACGAATATATATATGATTTATATAGTTAGACTCTAACTTTTACCTGGTAAGCTCCAACCAGGTGAATAGCGATGCAAATGTTAGCGAAGTCAATTAGCCAAAAGGGTTCGTAGAAACCAAATCCAGTGAGGAAATTTCCAGGTGCATCGTTTCCAAAGGCTGCATAGCCAATGGTACCACATAGTACATAGAATAAGGTTGTGGTAAAAACTCCGACAAGTGATGCTTTCTTCATAACCTTGTTCTCTGCAGGTGGTGATCTCAATGTATCCTGAAATTGTCAAGTTGATTAAGCAATTAGTTCTCACATATATTGCACAATCATGTCCCAGAAAAGACCCCAATTTCTCAAATCTCTGTGACAATTTCAAAATTTCAATCATAGTTTTCCCCTTCAAAGGTCACGATTGTGATGGCTGTTAAACCTAGACCCCTACTGGTGTTTAAGCTAGCGTTTTTTGAACTTGTCTTAGAAAAATAATTTCTGAGAGTAGAAGTTGTGTTTGGACATACATTTTATTTGAAGAAAAGTTAAGTTTTGTAAGTGGATGATAAATTTTCACCAAAAACTGGCCTAAACAAGTACAAAATATGTCTTGGTGCATAAAGTATTTTGCGTTCAGCCAATCACATATGATGTCACACCCTTGGGGTGTGATGTAGACCTACCCTAATACAAGTATCAGTAACTGCTTTCACAGTTCGAACTTATAATCTATAAATCAAGCAAAAATAACTTTATCATTGCTTCAAGATTCCCTTCCTATTTATTATATACGTAAATTAATCAAATAACTTTCAATGCCAAAATAGTTGTGTTCGATTATAATATCGTCAAAGATCTTTCCTCATTTTTTGTTTTTGAAAATTCATTATAATTAATACTTGTATTATACTACCTATATGTGTACATATACTATAGTGGAAGTGGCGTTTAGCCATTTATCAAATCGCCAAAAGATTAGGTTTTAGGAAATAACGCCAAACGAGCTCGTGTCGTACAAAAACTTTTTTTGTGGTTTATTATTGTTAATCATGAAGTAGACAGACTGCGACTTTTGAAATCAATTTGACCCGTTGAATTATACATCCTATCATTAAAAGTTAAAGACGCGGGCCATGGAGTAATTAAAATCTGACACCTGGTGATATATTCACAACATATGAAATGATATATGGTTGTTAAGAAGAAGAGTGAGACTTGGCTTTCACTTCTTTCCGAATTTTTTTGAACTTTCTGTATTCAAAATCGTGGTCCTAAAGAATACAATATACATAGGGCGGAACTCCAATATCAGTTATGGGTTCAGACGAATTCTGTAATTTTTGTTTAAATTCTATCAAGTGAGCTATAAATTTAATGACAAGTTCAGAAACTTATAAATAGAGGCGAAACTAAACTTTTTCATACGAGTTTGGCCGAGCTTAGCATTTGTCCTAGCCTTTTATTTATCTTATGAAATATATTGGATATGTACAAATTACTATTAGTTCAGAATCCAAAAACTTAAAAGAACTAAAATTTCAAATTCATAAACTTTAAATTCTAACTCCACCTCTATTTATAGATTTCAAATTTTTAACTTCAGATTATCGACTATTTTTAACGAAGCTATATACATAGATAATATGAAAATTCTTTATATTAATTACTAATATAAGTTAAGGTGCGGTAAAATATTATCATTTTTATCAAGTTATAACTTAATGGTTATCAAATATATCATAAAGTTACTTATAATTATTTTACAAATGACCGTAAATATTCTTTAAACTTAGTGCATATAGAACCTAATTAAACTCTTTTCTCAACATATAAAATTGAATATAGTCTGAAAGCTACATTATATACAGATATACCACAGGCTACACTTCATTATATAGACATATATCATACCACATGCCAACCTTCGTTATTACTCTAAAGAAGCACCTAACATGATCTCTCTTCCAGTGATCGAAATGAGTTGCTTGGTTTTACTGTGTTCAACTGAATCAATTGTTTTTTGATTCGATTATAAGTACATATAAAATATATATATATATATNCACCCCTGTTAGGCTTGTCTTTACATGGTGCCCTGCACCTACAAAGTTTTTTAAAAATAAATTAGTACTGTTTCACGGACCACAATAATATTACAAAAATAAAAGGAAAAAATAAGTACTTATTGTATATACTAATAATAAAGTAAATACATTTTTACATTATCAGCGATTTTTAAATCACCAACTAATGTTAAATTTATACATAATTACATAATAAGTGACTTAATTATATAAGTATTTATTTATACGATTATATTAGTGAAAATAAAAATAACTTAGACATGTAGATGTGAGAGTTGTACGTACCTGCGACTTTGGCAATGGAAAGTCCAAGACCAATAAGAGAGTAAGCAAAAGACATGACTGCAGCAAGAATGGATAGCCATGAAAGCTTATGGAAGTTTGGTATTTGGCTAAGAACTATTTGTATAACTGCAAAGATAATCATATATGGGTAATTTGATACTGAGCAGCTGGCTTCGTGCCCCTTTTTGTGGAAACAGTTTGACCTTACTACTGCCCTGAATCACCCAAAATTTCAAAACAAAAACTAAAGTCATTGTCATAACAAAAAGATTTGAAATATTTTCCTTAGAAAAAGAAGACTTAATTAAACTTACACCATACTGATAGATGCAGTAATAGTGTATCCAATGGTAATTCCTACGAGGTTACCATACTGGGCTATTCCACACAGTTGCACCTTAATACCTCCTGTTAAAAACACAAAGAGAAGACAAAATTCCTTTAGTACTTCAAGTTTTTGCATAAATAATTAATTCTGTCCATATTTCAATGTATTATACTTTTGTTAAAAATGAAATTAAGAACTCTTTCCACTGAGAACAATTAGGGAANNAAAAACTTGGCAAGAAAACTACAAGCTACAATTTACCAAGTACATTACAGAGCTTCTTTGTTCTTTAATTAATAAATGTTACAAAATGCCTTCTAAGCTTTCAATTCAAACATCAGGTAGTGCTTAAATCACGACCCTTAGGGTACAGCCTTTTTTTGAATCATGTCGCTTAGGGTACAGCCTTTTTTGAACCGTAAACGCGAAATATCGGGCTCCACTTATACTGTATAAAATATATAAAGATAAGAGTTAGATATGCATTTTTGAACCGACATTCAACTCAGAACCCCACAAATCATAGATTCTGGCTATCGTATATACACTGTCAGTGTATGTCAGTCACTTAAATTAAATAATTTATTACCTAAGTGAGAGCGCACAACCTCCATGTAACTGTAGTTTCTCTTGCCAGAGATAGGGCCAGGAGAGCGATAACAATCGGCGAGAAGTGTTGAAGTGAAGTAAGTGATGAAAGAGAAGATAAAGAGAATAACAGGACCAGCGACCCACCCTAACTGAGCCATTGCCCATGCTAGAGATAGCACCCCTGACCCTATCACAGCAGTTATTATATGTGCACTCGCTGTTAGCACCGTACCTTCAAAGATAAAAACGATACAGAGAAGATTAGTATTATGACATTCGCTCAAGAATGACAAGTAGAAATCGAGAAATGGTTCAACATTTTAGAATACCAGTTCTTTTCTCACGCCCATCATCGTCAATGTTTTTATGAACTTCTCCGCTTTCTAGTACTCCTACTTGTGCTGAATGTTCTACGTACATATTGCTGTTCTTTTGAAATTCTGCCATATATGCGGTTTTGTAAGAGTGTAATACTTTGAACTATTTGGAGTTGGTTAATAGAGAATGGTTAAGCAGTAAGGAAGATGGAAGTATAAATAAAAGAAGGGAAATGGGAGGGGGGCGGGGGGGAATGAGAACAATAAGTGAATTATCAGTTTAAAATGATTAAATGATGGGTCTCTTGCTCTAAATAAAGGGCCAAAAAATATATGGGGCCCTTTACTTTCTCAGCACCTAAATTTGGGATATTTTTTACCACTGCTCCCTTCGTTTCGTTTTATGTGAACCCGTTTGATTAGATATGCAGCTTAAGAAAAAATGAAGACTTTTGGAATTTGTGGTCCTAAACAAATCAAAAAGGAGTTCAAAGTAAAAACTTCTCATTAAAGGTAGAATTGAAAGTTTAAGCTAAATTATTTCTAAATTTAAAAAAAAATCATTCTTTTTAGAACGAACCAAATAAAAAATAGATTCAGAAGCGGGGAGTTTGAAATTTGGGTGGTATTATAATGGTTTTAGGTCAAGAGTGATGGCATTGATTTTTCAAACTCGAATAATCTTTATATAATAAAGGGGGTCTGGTGGAAAATTTTATACCTTTACCCCTCAAAAATCAAATTGAATTTAATTTTTGTGCAGTGACAATGTATATAACTTTTTTACCCGTCAAATTAGCGATTTTCAATAACGGCTAACTGTCTACAGGTTATTAATCTTGTTTGGCAACATAAAAAAATCAACTAAATAATACTATAATAAGTTAAAATATACTATGGTGCAATAATTGTTTACGTCGACAACTCGACATCGTGTATATACGTAATAAGATAAATCAAAACCAAGATGACCCCCACAATTTGCTATTGCATATGGTCCTAACCAATGAAAATGAAACGAGTGTGTTAGTCAGTCATTGAATAGCAATTTGCCAAACAATGAAATCTGGAGAGAGCTAATTAGCCGATCACTCTCTTCAGTCGTTCTCATTGACGAAGATATGTTGTTTCCTTTTTCAATTTCTCATTGCCAAAAGATGAGTTACGTGACCTTCTGATAATTTCCTAGTCGACAACACCACCTTTCATCTCACTGTTTCAATTCTAGTTGAACAAATATTCCTCTCTTGTACCAAATATTCTTCCCATTTCTTTTCTCTAAGTTAACCGAAAGGAATTGATATACCCCCTTCATTTGTTCCTTTTTGGTCTTAATGATGATATTAGACGATAATGAGGTCTATTATGTGACAAAATACTGAGGATCAACAATGGAGTTGAGCTTAGATCGAGTTCTAATGGATGAAGAGGAAAAACATCCTCACTGAAAAGCTTCGAGAAATAGATGGAGAGGAGAAATGAATTCTTCTTACATCAAAAAATATCTGTACAGTATCTTATACACGTGTATAACCAATTCCACTAACTAATAGCCTAACTGACTTATTACAGCGATAGCCTAAGTAATTACAAAATTGAACAGTACAAAGAATAGCCTATGTAAATGTAAAGTAATTACAATATGGCTAACTGTTAAATATTCTCAACACCCCCCTCAAGTTGGAGGTGGGGAACCCACAACCAACTTGCCAAGTAGAAGAGTATGCTTGTTGCCTGGCAAAGACTTAGTAAAGATGTCTGCAAGTTGTTCATGAGTAAGGATTTAATGCAGTGAGATCAGTCCATCTTGAAGCTTGTCTCGTATAAAATGGCAATGCACTTCTATGTGTTTGGTCCGCTCATGAAAGATAGGATTCTTTGCAATGTGAAGTATAGCTTGGCTATCACAAAAAACAGGTATAGGTAGAGATAGTGGTACTGTAAGTTCCTCAAGCAGTTGTGCAAGCCAGACTAATTCCCCAACCACTTTTCTTACTGCTCTATGCTCAACTTATGCTGAGGACAATGAAATAGTAGATTGCTTTTTGGATTTTCAACTAATGAGACTGTCACCAAGCAATACTATGTAACAATTGACTGATTTCCTAGTTTCAGGGCAAACTGCCCAATCAGAGTCACAAAAGGCACTTACCCTATAATCTCTACTGTTAGACAAGAAAATCCCTAGAGATAAGCTCCTTTTCAAATATCTCAATACATGTATTGCTGCTCTTAGGTGAGTGTCTCTAGGATTCTGCATATATTGGCTTAAGTGTTGAACACTATAGGCTATATAGGCCTAGTCCCTGTAAGGAAATTAAATTTTCCATCTAGTTTCCTATAATGGCCAGGGTCTGAAAGGGATATTCCTTCATCTGCTTTCAACTTTACTGTTGGATTAAGAGGTGAAGTCATAGTTGTACATCCTATACAGTCAAATTCCTTGAAAAGGTCTTGAGTGAATTTTCTCTGCGTAATCAGAACTCTATAACCCTTATAAAGTATCTCCAATCCTAAAAAGTAATGGAGTCTCCCTAGATCTTTTATTCTAAATGTTTCATGGAAAACTTCTTTAAGCTGGTAATTCTTCCAAGTGAGCTCCTGTGATAATAACATCATTCACATAGATAGCTACAAAGGTTACTGAATTCCCTTTGCCTTTATAAAACAAGGAGTAATCAAACATAGAATGTTTATACCCTCTAGAACAAAGAGCTTCTATCAGCTTGACATATCATTGCCTACTAGCTTATTTCAATCCATACAAGGATTTATTCAACTTGCATACCATTCCAGACTGTTCTACAAATAGACCTGATGGTGTCTCCATATATACTTCTTCATGTAAATCACCATGAAGGAAGACATTGTTCACATCTAATTGAAACATTTCTCATCCCTTCTTAACTGCTACCCCAATCAGAGTCCTTACTGTTGTTATTTTTATAACAGGTGAGAAGGTTTCAGTATAATCCACTCCAGCCTATTGAGTATAACCCTTTACTACCAGTCTAGCTTTGAACCTCTCTACACTCTCATCTGCCTTGTGCTTTATCTTATACACTCATTTACATCCTATGGCCCTCTTTCTAGCTGGAAGTGTCACTAAATCCCAGGTGTTATTGGTGTACAATGCCTCAAATTCTTGAGTCATTGCTGCTTGCCATGCAGGTACAACAGCTGCTTCCTCATATGAGGCAGGTTTACAATCTTGTGATATATTATTTATCAAATGTTGACTATCAGTGGACAGAGCTCTAAGGTCAATAGGTTGCACTTCAGGAATAAAGGTATTGAAGGACAGATAAAAAGTGCTTTAATCATCTTGAGGTGAGATATTCACAGGGTGGTCATTCACATGTTATTTGGGTAGTGTATACACATAATCTTTCAAGTATGTAGGTGGTTTTGTGAGTTCTAAGTGGTCTAGTATTTTCTGAAGGTAAGGTTGGAGTATGTTGCTATAATCAAATGAACTAGCAGTACTAAGTGAGCTATTTTGGTCTTGAAACTGTGGAGATGGGATATTATATTTAGTTGTATCCTGGGCATTTTCAGAGTCTTTGTTCCCTGATACAAGTGTTGGTGACACCATATTGTGGCTGTGAGATGATGTAATGGGAGATGTAATAAAATCACTTGTGTTGGAATCAGTTGGTGCATAATTTTCTACATTCAAGTGCATTTGGAGTAATGAAAATGAAGAACTATCAAGATTAGGAGATTGAATTTAAACTAAATGGAAAGATATTTTCATGAAATAATACATCTCTTGAGATGTGTATCCTTTTTGTGACAAGATTTAATACCTTGTAGCCTTTTGTCCCAAAAAAGTATCCCAGGAAGACATGTGGAGTTGATATAGGCTCAAACTTGTCCTTGTGTGTTTTGAGAGCGGTTGGGAAGAAAAGGCAACCAAAACTCCTAAGATGTGAATAAAGTGGCTTTTTCTGCTAGAATAGTTCATATGGACACTTATTATTTCTACTGGCAGCATTGACAAACTCCAGACCATTATCTGTCCTAATTATTTTGATGGTAGTTTGGAATTGATTTTCTACCATAACAACAAAGGCTTTGATAATGTGTAAGGCATTGCTCTGGTAAATGAGAAGATATGTCCACGTGGACCTACTATAATCATCCACAAGAGTAATGAAATATTTGTAGCCATCTTGGGTTGGAATAGGATAGGGACCCCAGAGATCCATATGTAACAGTTCAAAGATTTTAAGTATTTTTGTGGTACTTTATGGGAAGGGAGATCTGCTCTGCCTGGCCATTAGACAGACAGGGCAGAAGAATGGTTGTTTTGTGCAAAGGTAGTTGGGATGGCTGAGATGCCCCTCACTTTGACAAAAGGCATATGGCCCAATCTATTATGCCACAAAATATCTACATTGCATTTCTCATAAGCAGATGCATTAGGAATAGGAACAGAATTACAAGATTTATGAGCATCAAAAGAAGGATAAGAAGAAACATTTGAAACACGACACTCATTATTATTGTTTGAAGTAGTCTTTCCTACAATGGACTGCACTTTATTTCTACTGTGTGTGGAAGTGGATGCATAAGGTGTTGTGTGTGAGGTGTGTGACCAGACAGTAGTGTCAAGTGCAGAAGGTAAGATTGAGTTACTTTTGCATGAGTTTGTACAATGAAAGTAAAGGTTGTCCTTCACTTCACCAATCTCCAGTGGCCTCTTCAGTGAAGGTCCATGTAGAAGAAGATAGGAGAATTTTGTAAATACAACAATGCAATCTAGTTGCACAGTTAGGGAACGAAAAGAAATCAAGTTAAATTTGAAGTTGGGCACATAATGTACTTTTTCAGAATGAACTTTGGACTAAAGATCACATCACCAATAAGTGTCATCTTCACTTTGTATCCATTGGGTAAGGAAACTAAGTAAAGATAGACTAAGGTCTTGACATTTTATAGTAATTTCTTATTGAATGTCATATAGTTCGTTGCCCCAGAATCAGGGATTCATGGATCAACATATGAATCAGAACATTCATGCAATTGATTATCATGCTCAATAGAAGAAGAATAAGCGACTGTACCTGCAAAGTTCACAGCTCCTCCAATTAGCTTCATGTCTCCTGGCTTCTCCCCTGTGTCTCCTACTTGGAGCTTTTTTAGAATGTTGAGAAGTTGTCCATATTGCTCTTGAGTCAGGTAATGCATAAGCCTTCCCTCTTCATGATGATCTCCTTCGACTTCTGAAGCATTAGGTCCATCATTTGG